GCACCTGGTTAGCCGAGATGCCTTTTTCGGGCCTTTAGGGTTTCAGGGTTCAGGCGTTCGAGGTTTTTGGTTTCAGGTTTGGAGGGAGAGTTTCGAGTTTTTTGGGGGTTTGCCCGCAGGATTCTCGGTTTGAGGGGTCGCGGGTGTTGCTTTTGAGGCCTTATAATATAGAGTTCAGGGTTGGAGGAGGGCCGTTCAGGTTTCTTAGAGTTCCAAGTTTTGGATGTGGATGTTGAGGGCTTGAGACTCTATGGTTCTAGCGATGAAGGTAGGGGCACCTTCTGCCAGCACTTCTAAGCGAACAGGCCTGGATCCTTTTTTTCTTTCCGTGGGCTTCTGCCAGGATCTTGCTCAAAGTGTTTGAGGTCCACATCATGTCCGGATTCTTGTGCTGGCTGAGCTGCCAAGTCTTAGACATGTCGGCCTTCGCTTCAGGATGTGAGATCCAATTCCCTCTAACTTCGAAGCGCAAGCAACCCTGGCCCTGTGCTGTGGAAACTTTTGCGACACCATGTGCGAGGCTGCCGCCGACAGGGTGGAGTACGAAGTGGACGCCTGTGCCGGTCCTAGCTTCAAGATCTTCATTGCATGATGTGCTCGATGGCATTCGTTGTAAGTTTTTTTGCCGCAAGTTCGTGGCTCATGTTTAGACAAATGCCGCATGACCCATTTTGACAATGAGATTTTGCTGCAAGTGCCTGTTGCTTAAGCCATCCATGCGCCGCAGGCCCTGATCACACAGTTCCTGAGCCGAGGCGACCAAACATGCTGCACTCCTTGCTGCCATCGAGGAGTCGTGCTCCGAGCTTCTTTGCTGAGCCTCGCATGGACAGAATCCGCAAGGCGTGCATCCCAAGACCTTAAACCTTAAACCCAAGCCCTAGCATGCTAAAGCCCAAACCCCAAGGTGCTACGTAGTGTATTTTCACGCATCTGGGAGTGTTCCGAACATACTGCGTGAAGAGCTTCCAGCCCCCATCAGCCTTTGATTTCAAAAGTCGAGTCAAAACTATCATACATCGCCAAGCTTCACAACTTTAAAACCTGAGCCTTAGCTCAACTAGCGACCCTCCACCTTGAACCTCACAAGCTTCTCCGGGCCATAGCCATATAAACCGCTGGACCCTGAACCAAGAATGTGAAGCGCAAACCCCCCAAACATTGCAAGCACCAAAATCCCCAAATGCAGACCCTGGACCTTGCTTTTGCCTTGAGTGAAGCCAAAGGCTCTCAGCGTGCTTGTTTGATGTCCCAGCCTGTTCATGCGAGCTATCTCGTACATGTTTTCAAGATGAAGAACTTCAGAAACTTCTACAACTGGATGCTTAGCCCCTCAATCCTGCGGCTACAGGCCTAGCTCCGAAACCCTAGAGCCCACACCACATCAGACAGCTGTTGATCAACTGAAAGACGGAGTTGTTGCAAAGGGGTCATTCTCAGTCGCTAGGTGTTCCTTTAACACTGTGGCGACTTACGTGGTTTTGAAGCTGAGGGGATCTGAGCCTTCTGGTTGCTGTCCTTCATTGTCCGTGGAAGAGAAGCCATGATCCGCGTCTTCATGGCTTCCGGAGAAGAGCTCATTGCAGCCCCCGTGGAGGATGGGCAAGGGTTTCACGGTTTCAGGACTTTAGGGTTTAGGGCCTAAGTTTGTTGGGTTTCTGCAGTTTCAGAGGATTTGTTCGGTGTTAGGTTCGTGCTGTTTGGTCTTCGGGTGTAGGTGGTATTGACCTGCTGGAGGTTTTTCTTGGACAGGCTGTAGGGCTTCTGGTTCCTTTCCGCAGGTGCTGTGCAACATTGCACAACCACCGTACATGCCAGACCCAAGACAAGTCCTTCTTCTAGTGAACGGTCTCTAGTGGAATGTATCTGTGCATCGCACCGCACATAACACCTGACTTTTTCTTTTCTCATGAACCCATCCCCTCTAGACACTCAGCCTCAGTCTTGATGCGTTCCAACTGATGTGAGGAGCTGGGCGATGTCCGCACCCTGAAAACCCGCCTGGCGGGTCTCTGCAGCGTGCCGCGCTTTCGGCAGAAGCTCCTTTGCCTTTCGGACGGGAGCCTTCGCCGACAATTTGGGGGGCCTATCTTTAGGGGCCATCAGAACAAGAAATTGCGCCCAAGGCCGAAAGCTTTTATGAAATGCTTGTTATACCGTCGTTGAGCCTTTAAATGTTTGAATGCTCAATCATCTAGGCTTCCCTAACCATCCATGATCCTGGAGCCTCCAAAAGAGGCAAGCCCCAAATGCCAAAACACGAACACTACGATCGTCAGCACAAGCTCCCCAGAACCTTGAAATCTCTGTAAATGCGTTTGCTTTCTTAGTGGCTTAAGTTCAACTTGTGACGCTTATACTGACTTACTGCGTTCGCGTCGTTCAGCCGCTGAGGCATAAGTTGAAGGTTAAGAGTCTGGTGTTTAGAAGGTTCAGACCAGTTGGTAGACTCCAGGGCTCAAGGTTGGTCTATATAGGTGTTCAGGGCTTGGGAAATTTTGATGAGCCTTGTAATCACGCATGCCAGTGCATGAACGCATCACGGGTTGAAACTTGCATTATGTTGTGATTTGACAGCATGGCAGCCACTAGTCGCTAGCCTTGCGGCCTTTTTTTGGTGGCATGCTCAGCCTCAGACCTTAAAGCCTACAACACCCTTAACCCCTCAACTCTCAACCCTGACGCGAAGCCTTAAACTCCACGAAGGACCAGTCTTGCCGATTGGAGCACACTGGATGAGCCCATGGATCTGCAGCTTGTTCTTCTTCCCTTCAGTGCCTTGGCTCCCGAGATTTCTCTGCATGGTGTCTGGAAGTTCGTGGTCAAGTCCTGAATCCTGAAGCTAATTAGGCGGTTGCCCCTAAACCCTAAACCTAAAACCCTAAAACCCTAAAACCTAAACCCTAGACCCTAAACCCTAAACCCTAAACCTTAACCGAAGGTGGTCGAGTGATTAGTGAATCGGAAGGTTCCGGATCTGTTTGTCGTATGAACCTCACCAAAGTCGAACACCCGAAGACCTGGCCGTACCACCTTCGAGCCTGATAGAACCCAAAGCCCAAGGTCCCCAACCCAAAGCCCAAGGTCCCCAACCCTAAGCCCAAACCCTAAACCCTGAACCCTAAACTCCAAACCCTAAACCCTGAACCTTAAACCCTAAACCCTGAACCCTGAACCCTAAAGCCGAAATCCTAAACCCCAAACTCTGCCTCCTGGAGTGCAAGCCCGATTTCTGTCACCTCGCTGCCGAGATTATGCAAGCTCGGAACAAGCGTCGGAGCTGATCAACATGGCCAGCTCTGGTAGAGATTCTGAGGTCTGGGCGCATGAAACTAATACGAAACTTGAATGGTGAGTAGCAATATCTCGCTGTAGTCCCTGTCTAACTATCTTTGATTTTCGGGCTCTCAGATTTGGTGGGTTTCGGGGATCAGAGGCTTACAGAAGGGGTGCAGGCCAAGAGTTGGTTTGCGACAACGCCTCAGCAACGATGTGTTTGCCGTAATTGGTACACACCATCGACAGCCTTCGGCTCAGTGTTTCAATGCCTCTTGCAGGGTTTGTTCAGGCTCCGGTGCGTGACTGCCTTTTTGCGAGAAGTCCAAAGCCCAACAATGCACCTTACACACACGAAGCCCCAAAGCCCTACCATGACACTTCAGATCTCCAAAGCCCATCTCAGCTCTGTCGGTATTCTCCGCTGGCTCCCTTCAGACTCTTCCTTTACATCATGATCAAGGTAAGATGGCCAGGGTGGGGAGAGGGGAGGTACTGCTTGCAGGGTCACCAGGCTTCCTCGAGAAGTGAGGGCATCGAATCTTCGTTCGGATCCCCATTCTGCCCGAAGGGAGGCACCTGTTTTAACCATTGTGCCCTCGCCCTAATATTTCTTGGAAGGTGGAGGAGATTCTGCAGGGTCGCCTGCATCCAGACATCGCGTACAATGGAGGAAGCTTGCCGTCAGTCTGAAGAGAGCCTTTACAGCTGTGAAGGCTTAGGGATCATTCCATGCTCAACCTCAACCCTAGGTGCAATTCCCAATCACACCGCCCGAAACCCCACCCTTATGATCGCAGACTCCAGACGCCCAGTGAGGAGAAACTGCTCTCTTCTTTGCATCCCGGAAGGGCCTTGTATCGACGGTGAAACTCCTGTTGGAGGCCAGGACAAAGCCCGAACCGACCCGATCTCCCACATTCCTGGATCTCCTACGGCTTGAGAGCCTTTGGTGAACCGTTTAGGGTTTGGGCTTAGGGCTCAAGGGGACAGGGAAAGCCTGAAGCTTTGCATGCCAAGCCCTGGACTTGAATCCTCAGCCCTGCCTTGCACGCTACCCTGCAAGGCGAACGCAGCCACAGACAGGGTGAGCAGGAGCAACCGTGCAGGCCCTGCATTGTCCCCAAGCTGCACGGACGGGTTGGGAACCACAGGCCCTAAGCCCTGAACGGTTTAGTGAGTGGCTATCTCTGCAAAGCTGGCGCTGAGGAATGTCGCGTGCTTCGCGGGCCACGCGGGTGTGACACAGCTGCTGCTGGAGTATCGCGCCGAAGTTCCGAAAGTACCGGGACGTGCGGAGCTGCCCCTGAATCTGGCATGCTTCAAGGGAAGTGCCGAAGTGGTTCAACTTCTCTTGGATGCGAAGGCAGACAAGGACGCAAGCGGGCAACAGGGCTTCACCCCACTGCTTGAGGCCTGCTCCAGAGGAAACGTGTCCGTGGTGCGACTCCTGTTGGAATCTCGTGCGAACGTTGATAAAGTCTGCTGCTCTGACGATGTGTCCTACGGCGAAACTCCGCTCTACGTGGCTGCGCGCTCGGGCCACGTCGAAGTCGTGCGGCTCCTGCTGCAGGCGCGTGCCGACACCGAGAAGATCTGCGGGATGCAAGGTGGGAGTTTCGGAAAACCAAGTATAGGGATCCCTAGTTGCAGCTGGAGCTTTTAAGTTACCTTAAACCCAGGTGTCACAGCCTTGGACATAGCCCGCCGGAAGAGTCGGATGAGGACGTGGTTTCTGCTATTGGAGGCGAGCACTAGGAAGAATGAGCTTGCCGGGTCCTGGCTGAAGCTGATGCGAAGCTTCCTTGCAGAACTGCTGTCTGGATGGAGGGCAAAGAGGCTGTAGCCTGATTTCGCCGCATCAGTGCCTATCTCGGAGCAGACCCGTTAGAGCTACTGCAACGGTGGAGGATCTAGGGTCAACCCCCATCGTCTCTGGAAGCCCCTCGTTGACCTTAATGTCATCGACCCCCAGGGCCTAGATCCTGTCCCACCGACCTTTTGAATGGGTCCGCAGCTGACATCACATGAGGGGCAAAGAGTTTTCGATATGCCGGTGGGAAAGGTTTCAACTGCACGTGGCTTGTGGTTTGGGGTGAAGGCGGCTTTTCGGGATAGGCGTACAAATGCCAAGCTCATGTACCTGAACCTTGCAGCGTGACTTTGACAGTTCAGTGTTCACGTGACAAGGCACGTGTTAAAGTTTACAATCCGAGACCATAGCCTAGATTCCGAGCCTCGCCATCTAGGTTTCTTGCTCGAGCCAATAGTCCAATAGTAACTGGAGCACCTGCGTGATGACAGTAGATGCTTTTTTTCCGAACCCAGGAGTACCTGTAGATCATAAATCACCTTGTGCCACGAACTCGGACTCGATGAATGTTCGGCTTGGGACTTTGCGCTTCGTCTCTGTTCCGGGTTGAGGCTGGGCAGAGCCCAAATCTAGATTCAATGACTGAAACAAGCCATGCATCATCAACCCTGAACTCTTCTCGATCTCGAGCCCTAAACATAACCTTCCATAGAGCCATCATAAACATCAAAAGAGACCCTAGACTCTAGACCTACCTGCAGTTCCGGGCCGCTGCCGATGCGTTGAGGTCGCAGATGCACGTGGTGTATGCTCTCAGGCCAGGCAGTGGTGCTTTTTGTTTGCTCTAAGGGGTTTAGATTTCTTGCAGAAGCTCAACAAAAGCTCGTAGAGACCCCGAAACCCTCAACCGCACAGCCCTACAGCCCATGAGCCGCAGCCGGGTCAGGCCGCAATCCGACGTGTGGCAGGAGAGCATCCAATCTGTGAGCCTGGAGCAGGTGGGCTTCATCAGGGTCTAATATAGGGCCCTTAATAATTACCTATATTATTTTGGGGGTTCCTTATTATTTTGATAGTACAATGGCCCCAAAACCCTATTCTAATTATTAAGGGGCTTAGAGGGTTTAGAAGGGTGAGGGCTTTGGGTTTGGGCTATGGCGAGGTTTTGTCTGATTTAGGGTTCAGGGACTGCAGCATAGGAGCCAGGGCGAGCAGCTTGAGATTAGGGCGTAGGTGTCAGGGTACGAAAGTGGTGGCCACTGCAGAAGCGAGCACAGGTCAAGTCGGGCACTGCCTGCGACAAAGCAGAGAGAGAGAGAGAGAGACTGGGTTCTTGTTAAGGGATTTAATTTAAGTTACCATAATAAGGAAACCATATTATTTACTATAGATCCCTATTATGGTAACTTAAATTAAATCCCTTAACAAGAACCCAGGAGAGAGAGAGGGACTTGCACAGTCCCTTCAAAGCCCCATAACATATGGGGGGCCCATGAGGCCGAGGGACCTGACCCGTCCCTCATGCCCGGGGCAAGAAGAAGAAGAGAGAGAGAGAGATACAGAGAGATACAGAGAGATACAGAGAGATACAGAGAGATACAGAGAGGTACAGAGAGATGCAGAGAGAGGGAGACGGAGACGGAGACGGAGACGGAGACGGACAGAGAGACGGACAGAGAGACCAACAGACAGAGAGAGACAGAGGGACCGAGACAGGGGAGGACAGGGGGGCAGGGGGAACAGGGGACAGGGGGACAGGACGGGGGACAGGGGGACGGGTGACAGGAAAACAGGGGAAACAGGGCAGAGAAAAACAGCGGGACAGGGGAACAGGAAACAGGGGGACAGGGGGACAGGGACAGATAGATAGAGACAGATAGACAGAGACAGAAATAGAGACAGAGACAGAGACGGAGACAGAGACACAGACAGAGACAGAGAAAGAGACAGAGACAGAGACAGAGACAGAGACGGAGACGGAGACGGAGACAGAGACAGAGAGAGAGAGAGACAGACAGAGACGGAGACAGAGAAAGACAGACAGACACAGACAGACAGACAGACAGGCAGACAGGCAGACAAGCAGGCAGACAGAGACACACAGACACAGACAGACAGAGACACACAGACACAGACAGACAGACACAGACAGACAGAGACAGACAGACGGACAGACAAACAGACAGACAGACAAACAGACAGACAGAGAGACAGACGCCCACGTTCACGTTGCCACGCCCACGCCCATGCCCCACCCCACCCCCGAACCCCCCTTCACCCCCACAACCCCGCACACCCCCATTCCCCCACACCCACCTCCCACAACCCCACACCGCACCCCCACACAACACACACCCCCCAACATCCCCCACCCACACCCCCACACCCCACACCCCACCCACCCACCCACCCATCCACCCATCCACCCAGCGCAACTGCACACAGTCATGTGCACCTTGCCAAGTCAATAAAAGAACCAGTATTCCTCAGGAGCAAGCTGGGATCTGTGCATCTTCATGTCCTCATTGTTGACACCTGTGCGTGCATGATATGTATTCCCCCGTCCTGGTTTGCTGTTGCGTGCAATCGGCCTGGCAAAGCCAATAAAGGAATATCTAACGGCTTCTGCCTCTCCTGCACGAACCTCATGAAAGCTTTGAAGCACACAGGCGCTAGAGCAGGTAGAAACTCATGTTCCCAAGCCGATCTGGGGCTTGAGCTCCATCTGCTTCAGCACACCAGCTGCGTCTGAACCAACCTGAGGCAAGCACTGGTCATCATCTTTAGAAACTTCCGGGTTGCAATGCGGAGCTGTTTGCTCGACTTTTCATGCTCGGGTTCAAAGGTGTTAGCGCCTGTTGAGCACGTTGACGACAAACAAATGCAATCGGAGCATCGTAGCAAGCGCTAGTGAAAGACAGAACTTGCACGCAGTGTACGGTTTTTCGGTTTCGCCATGCTGGCAGCCCTGCTTTTTTCGTCTACAATTGCAGAGCGCCTTGACGCTGCAGTTCGGCTGTCCAACGTGGTGTCCCTTCGGCTTTTGTTTTGTTTCCCACCCGTCCCGTTCAAACTTGGCAAAAGCTTCGGGAGAGCAGCTCAAGAGACGGGTGCCGCGGACATGTCAACACCGTCCTTGCCTCGGTTACTTGAGAAGCGGATCTAGGGGTGATGTGATGGTGTTGGTTGCGGGGTGGCAGCTGCTCGCGCTTATCATGGATTGTCGTTGTCGTCGCCATGCTGCAGCGCTGTGCTGCTGCTGGTCGTCCTCTTGATCATCGTCGTTGTTGCTGTCTGTGGTTGGCAGCAGTGCAATACTTACCCACTGCGTTCCAATGTTAGATTTTGTTTATCTTGCTACTGGTAGTGTAGTGCTGTGACTGCTGTTGCTGCTGCTGCAATCATTTTAACCACGAGAGTGCAACGAAAAGCGCCTTCGGGAACTTGCAGCCAACCTCCCCCTCTCATTTAACTCCGCTCGAGAAGTAGCATCAGTAATAACGATAACAACCAAAACAATGAATATTCGCATTACTAATAATTGTAGCATTAGTAGGAGTAGTAGTAGTAGTAGTAGTAGTAGTAGTAGTAGTAATAGTAGTAGTAGCAGTAGTAGTAGAAAAGTAGTAGTAGAAAACTAGTAGTACGGTTGATGATATAAATCCTGCACTGCCCATAATGAGAAATATACCACAATTCCCATAGTTTAGGGTCCTTAAGGTAATGCAGGATTTGTATCATCAACAGTAGTAGTAGTAGTAGTAGTAGTAGTAGTAATAATAATAATAGTAGTAGTAGTAGGAGTATTAGTAGGAGTAGTAGTAGCAGTCGTTGTAGCAGTGAGGTAAAGTGTCTCGGCCCGAGAATTTTTCA